ATATTGTTTGAAACAAAAATAATATCCTAGGTAAAACACTCATTTTTATCACAGAAATTTTCAGCAATGACAGTTGTAGTTTCTCCCATCTTAACATACCTTTCTTAATTTCATTCCATGTCTTAACATAATTATTCTGGAACAACATACAATTCACATTTGTCAGATTAACACCCAAATATTTTACCTTTTTCTCAATCTTGAAACCTGTTTTATTCATCAGTTGTATTTGATCTTGTAACTTCATATTTTTGTTAACATTTTTGTCTTCTGTTTGTTGACCTTAAATCCAACTAATGCACCAAACACTTTTAATTTTCTAAAATGGAGCAGCAACTTCAACTTCTCTGTTGACGACAACTGTCTGTTAACCCCTGCTCCATGCACCTTGATTTTGGACCTGTGAACCTCAAGACCTTGACTCTAGACCCGGACTGGCCAATGAGCCTTGTACCCAGTTTTGACCTTCAGACTTCGCCTGACTACTCTCTCTCTCTCTGCTTGCTGTTTTGGACTATACTTGCTAAGGCAGGCTTGCTAAGCACTGGGACTTGTCGCTTTACTCTGTGTGTGTGTGTGTGTGCATGTGTGTGTTTGCACTTGTATTTACTTTACCAAGCCACTTCTAGTAAAGTATTTTAACCACCTCTTTGTGTGCATGTATGTGTTGGCCTGGAAAGTACAAACATACTAACCAAAGTCATTTATAGCACATAACAAATAAATGATACAAGAAAAATAAAATTAGGAAATGTTGTTTTGAAGAATTCCATGTATGCAAGCAGCTAAATCTCCCTGGTTGAAGAATTCAATGACCAGATGCATACAAGCCTTGTGCATGAATGACCTTCCAGTTCATTCAAGCAGAACATACCCATTTCTTTATGGCCTTCATTTCAGCTCTAGATCACATATGCTCGAGTTGAGGCATGTTCTTGGGTGGCAAAATAAAAACATTTCACAATATTTTGGAAGGCACATACGCTTCAGGAGATGTGGGAAAATCAGTTTTACATGTACATGCCTGTTTTTCTGCCTACATTATTCTCATATGATACAGTCCACAGGTGAGAATCCACCTAATAAGGAAGTAACCCTAATTTTTAAAATTGGAATCTAAACCAATTATTTGAACTGAGCAAGATCTTTCACATGGACATTTTTTTCATATAAGTATAGACTAAACTTAAATTTATTTATCTTGATAAGGGGATCTGTTAAAAGAGGGCATGATTTCCCTCTATTAACTAATAGAAATTGGCATATTTTCCTTTTATTTCATGTTGCCCCCAAAAAGAAAAGGCATGACTGTTCAAAAGTAGCAAACTGTTTCTATTATCATAATATATATATTTATATATTGTGTTTTATTATGTACACTACCTACAGTCCTTTAGGGTCAATAGATCTTATAAATAAATGAAGATAAATGGCTCTTATTGTTGCCAGGTAGAAAGAAGTTCTCTATGATCATTCCAAGACTTCTAATTTGATTAGATATTTGGGAAGAGACTAAAAGAAAGACAAAGTTGTTTTTGTTGTTATTTTGGATTCTAAGGATACAAATAATTTACAAGAGCAAATATTATCTCATTTAAAAAAAAAACTCTCACCAATACATTCAAATCAAATTTATTATTATTTTATCCATTTCACAAAAGGTAGGGGAATGGCTCTGAGTTTACAGATTATTCCAGCTACGTAAAGTAGGCTGATATTGTTATAACCTATATCTGGGTAGCTGAACTATGACTGAATACTCTACGGTGTGGTCCAATGCTGTTATCAGTGTGCTGTGTGTTTTTTACGAAGATGTAATGGGAAATATTGAATCACATGAACAGTATACCATGGTATTCTCCTGGACTGGCTACAGGGTTTGGGAATAGATGGCACAGTGTTGTAGTGATTCTCTTTTCTTTGGAGCTGCTCCCAGATGATCTGGGGGCCGGGGGAGAAAGACTGAGCCTAAGATTCCTCAGGACTCCACTCTTTCCTCTGTTGTTTAGCATCTACATGAAATTTATGGATGAGCATCCAATGGGACAGTTTCAGGTATCATCAGTACGCAGCAGTCAACGTGCTATCACAGTGCCTGGGGGCTGTTGGGGTATCATCATATTGGGACTAATCTTCATCAGAATCAGTCAGGTTTTGTTGTAATTCTCTTGTACTGAAATCAGTGGAATTTCTAAATCCTAATTTTTGCCTGCAGTGTTCCCATAGTTCTTTTGCATCCCAGCCCACATTTTCTTACAAAACACTGGGGAAGCTGTCATTATCAGTGCTCTATCCTAAACTAGGAAACACCTAGGAAATGTGCTCTCCCCCAACTTCCCAGGATTAGCTGGGAGAGTAATCACAATGTTTTGGAAGATCAGAAAGCCTGACAAATGAGACAGCACCACTAAAATCTCAGGAAACCTACTCTGGCCTGAATCAAAGGAGCGATGTAATGTGCAAGTGTACAAATAATGCAGCAACGTGTTTCAGTTTAAACAGCTGTGCAGTAGGTGGTTCATTTGTTATGCTTGTGGCAGAAAAGAATATTTGGGAGTAAACTGCCAGTTGTGAAACTGAAGTGCTTTTCTTTTGCTTCCCTCTTACTTTTAAGAGTAAACAGAAGTGGTCATCAGGCATTGCTTTGTTCCCTCAAATACACAAAAGTCAGAAGATGCTTCTGCATGTGCCCAGAAATCTTTGATGGTGCTTCCAATCAGCCTCTGGAAGAGGTTTGTGAGCAAGTTCTGCTGCAAATGCCAGTCAAGGAAAACACAAGATGGGCAAAGGACTTTCATGGAAAATCATGTTGCCTGAAGCTCTTTCTACAGAGTCCAAACTATTCTGTAAAGGCCTTGGAACTAATCAAGCCATGCCGAAATAAAGGTTTGCAATCCCATATCACATTGCTGCTGGAAAACAAAATTTCTGTTGCTTTTTGTAATGATCACTGAAAATCCATTGGTCACTTTCTTAAATAAAGCAATACTTCTGAAACTTAGGAAGGTGGAAATATCAGTCTTGTATTTTTCTGTAGATTAAAAAAAGTTGCTGTGATTGAACTTCTCACTAGAGGCCTTTGAATTGCCTGTTGTGTATGATTAAACTAAAAAAAAGTACCTTATACTGTAACTTGATTTTAAACAAAATTCTATTGACTCGTGCATGCAACATTTATGAGTCCAGTTGATGACATCTGCTGCTAAGCTTCAAATCATTGCCCTTTTTATCCACTTGACCACTAGGAGCATCAGGAGTAGTGATAGAAGCAAGGGACATTCTCTTTCTTTCTCTCTTTGGATTTTTCCACACCGCAGCCTTCAGCTGCTCGGTTTCCATGTGTAAACTAGCTGGAAACAAAGCCAGTTTCAGATATCTTCTTCTCAATTTCAGCCCCTTCTTTTGCTTTGGCCATGGTGATGACCTGATGATCTGTCTGCACCACATTTATGACGGCTCCTAATTGGTGGATTTCCTGGCCTCAGTTTTCCCTGTCACTTGGACTAGAAAGTGGCAGAATCAATTTAATCAGGTTTTTAAAAATAAAGACAGATGGACATTACACTGTCCATCAATGAACATGTAAAAAGACATTTGACAGTAGAGAGCAGGGACTAGTGACCAGAGGGGAGAGGGCATTTCCACCTCCAGCTGCAGAAGCCAAATGGAGTAAAAGAGTTTAGTTACAAGGAAGTGAAGTGCAGCACAGAAACCAGACAGCAGAGCTGCAATTGGTACAAAACAGCCAATTCTCCTTTTGGCACAACCATGAAACACGAGTGGAGGTGGGGGGAGGAGCCCAGATGGCAACAAACTAGCAGCTCCTGAGTAGATGTTGCATTGGTTGCTGGCTGGGGATGGGTTGAGGATGACAATAGGCATTCTTGTCCTCCAGAAACAGCGGCTGGCTCATGCTTAGTGGGTTAAGCTGGAAATGTGGATCTCCCCCAGTCTTTGCTTTGCTTTCTCCTGATACTTTTAGGCTGTCCTATTCAGCCTACTTTCTTTAGGAATAACAGCATCCTATCTTCTCCTTTCCTTATACATGAGAACAGAAAGCTCAGAGATGTAGGCTTTCTGTTGCAGCATGTTACTTCTTTAATAATGCTTATTTGACCTCTTGGACTTTAAATACCTGTCTTTAGATATTCTTAATTGGTTTGGTTTAGTAACACATGTATGCTTTATTAAATGTGGTTCCCAGTGAATCAATTGGAGGATCTCAATTCTCTGATCTTTCCTCTCAATAGAAAGAAGTTGCCACATCAAATTGTAAGCAGGCTTAATGGTGCTGAAAGCTAAATCTTCAGAGGTTGACCCAATGTGCACTATTAAGGCATGGGTAGACTACTTGGGAGAAATCGCAAGTATCTTGCAAACACAATTTAGCAGTGGCATTTAGATTGAATTCACATAGAGCATAATTTGGTTAGTTTAACAATGAGTTTAACATTTTATATGAAGCCAGTCTGTTTGATCTGTAAGCTGTAGTTTATTGTTTAAACATGAGGTGTGAATCCAGTCTGGTGTGCTTTATTCTGTTAACAGTAATTAAACCTGGTTTATATGATTAGTGATGAGATCATAGCATGATTATCAAGATAAAGGGGACATAGCAGTATCTAGAGCTACTATTTACCTTGCTTTCCAACTGGATAATAGCTTCAGTTATAAGCTTATATTTGTTGTTGGATTATCAGGTTGGTTTAAAGTTTCTGTTGCAGATAAAGTGTTGATGGTAATTTGAATAGTGAGAAGTAAATTGCTGCCAACTTATCTGGGCTGGCCCAGATTGGTAACCATTAGTCTACATTTTATATTATTATATTGTGGAGTTACAAATGGACCTTGTATTTGGAACAGCAGAATAGAATGGTGTTTTGAATTTCAGGAGCTTCTTGGTCATTCTCATATCATATTCAGATAGCTTCTCTGAATTTATCTTCATATTACATTACTATAGCCCAACCAGTCAGGAGTAAATATGATTAACATGAAATATTACAACCTCAAAATGTTTGACTAAAACAAAACACTTTATTAAAATACATGAGAAACTAATATTATCTACATGACCAAGTCATTCTTGACTCCTAGAAGCTACATGGAGAAGTCCCTGCAATTTTCTTGGCAATGTTTTCAGAAGTGGTTTGTCCTTGCCTGCTTAGGACTGAGAGAGAGTGACTGTTCCAAAACATTGCAGGGCCAGCACTCACAGTCTCCCATCTTCTAGGCCAGTGCCTTTTAGCCACTACACCAAACTGATTCCCACAGGAAACATTAGGAAGGTGAAAAGAGACATAGCAGCTTCTATATTTAGAATAATTGAATAATTGAGTAGGAAGTGGGCATTTCTTCCTCAAGTTCAACACAATGGAGGTTACAATTTAAAGCATCATGAAGAAAAGGAAGGTATCTTCCATCCTGTTGCCAAGAAAATTACATGGAATTACCAGGAGTCA